AACAAAATTTTTTGGATGATTTTTTCACAAAAGTTACACGAACTCACTAAAAAAATGGTGCAGAGAATATGTTTTGAACTTTAAGTACAAACATGTAGAAAAACCAAAAGTTATATTTTTTTAAAAATTCTAGATAAGGTTTATTAAAAATGTTAAAATTGTGGATGCTTGATCAATAATAATAAAAAATTTTCTCAGATGTTTGAATTAATATGTTATAGTAGTTATATAAATGTTTGATTATATATGTTTTGCATATAAGTTAAACAATGCTAATTTGATTGTTGTATTGTTAAAATTATACTATACATTATCTTTATTTATGAACAAATATTTACAATTTTTTACGAGTAATATAGTGTCTTTTAAGTACAAACAATTACTAGTAGTACAAACTAATACTTAATCCACTTATAATATGTCTACAAAACGAGTCCTTAATGAATTAAACAAATTTAGTAACTTAAAACTTGTACTACTTAATATTTATACAATTCTTAAAAATAAGTTAAAATTTTAAGTAGCAAGCTACTTACTTATCGTTTATGCTCTATTTGGTATGATGAAAAAAATAAAAAGATAAAAAATTGAAAGAATGAAAAGTTAGAGGGATAAATAAAACATCATGCGTTGGTAAGAAAGGAATACAGAAAAGATGTAAAAGTTGATAGATTAACTTTTCTTCTAATTCACCAAAAATCATTTCCTCCAAAATCAGAAGAAAAATGAATGAAAAATTAATTATTTGTGTTGAGATGTATCTTATTTGTATATANTCAGAAGAAAAATAAATGAAAAATTAATTATTTGTGTTGAGATGTATCTTATTTGTATATATATATATTATATATACATTAATATCATATAAAAATAAAATGATAAAATATGTATATAAATATATATATATGTATGTATATATGTGTGTGTGTATATATATATAATTTTTTTAAAAAAATAAATTATAGAAAATAAAAATTAAAAATTAAAAAATATATTTTTTCCATCTTAGTTCGGAGTGAAAATTTTTGACTCAACACGATAACATAACTCGAACTCGATACGAATTTGAAAATGACTTGACATGCAAATAAGAAATATAAATAGCTCATATATAGTTCGATTCCTCATACTCAAAATTGATACCTTTAACTCGTTTATTTAAAAATAAACACTTTCTCTATTTTTTCGTTTGTACAGTAACATGAAACTAACATATTTAACATGGATCCAGTGAAGTGCAAATAGAATTTTAGCGTTAAATTTTTTTTATTCAAAGTCAATGCGGGTCAACACGAATACGAATATGAATATGACATGAAAATAAACAGATCAACTCGACACCACAATTAGTTAAATGAGTTGAGTTAAGTTTGACTAATGTTTAACACAAACTCGCAATGACTCGACATGAACCTGACACGACACGACTCAATTGTCACCCCTAATCTTAGCTAACACAAAAAAAAATAATCATTTTTATTTTTCATCAATCTTACTAAATATAAAGGAAGAAAAGTGTATCATTCATACTTTTTTTCTTTGAAGAATAAAAAATATATCTCTCATACTTTCTATTCCTCTTACTTTCTATTATTTATACCAAATAGAACATTAATGCTAAAAATGTTAATTAATAAGGATTTTATAAATTTTTTATAATGAATAACTATATTCTCAATATATTTTACACTCTTTATCTTTTCAATAACCACTATCCACCACCACCACCATTGTGCCACTGCCATCACCACTATTAAGGTGTTGTCGTCGCCACCATCACTGTGTTGGAATCACCACCATTGCCACTACCATTATCATTATGTCGTCGTCACCATAATTACCATTGTGTCGCAACTATCACTACTACTACCATTATGTCGCCGACATCACAATCACCATTGTGCTAGGATCCCCACCACTATTATTGTGTCGGAAATTACCACCATCACTATTAATATTGTGCCATTGCCACCACCACCATCACCATTTTGTGATGGTGGTGGTAAGAATAAAGTTGTTGTGGTGAAATGGTTAAAAATAAAGACAAAATAAAAAAAAAATAATTTTTAAACTTCAACTATTTATATTTGTCAAACAATTTGATTCAATTTAATATTTAAATTTTAGTGAAATATTGAATAGTCTGCTAATTAAAAAATTCAGTATTCAACACTTAAAATTTAATATTTATTTTTTAATATTTAATATTTAATTTTATCAAACACCACTTTAATCTCAAGATCAACCTCAAAAAAAATAATTAAATCAAGCAAAAAAACAACTATATATTTTTTTGGTCGGGAAAAAAACACTATTTAGAAACCTTTTTTGTGTAGCCTAGTGGTGTGTGTCTCACGTCACGTGTTCGTTATAAAGCACGTGCCACTTCGTAATCTCCGAATATCCAATTGAGCGAGTCAACACTCCAATAACAACAAATGACAAGAAGGAGGCGGAACTCAAACCCAACTATTAATCCGAACCCAAAATCGCCATATAAACTTTTTCACGTCCGCCTTCGAGGCCTCCAACTGAAGAAAGAAACTCCTCTCTCCCTCAATATCCCCATTGAATTCGTCCTTTCAAACTTCAATCCTCGATTCCATGCAAAACAACGCACACGCACACTTTCTAGTATGTGTATTGAATGTTAATTTGCAGTCTGAGCGATTTTTTGAGTATCGGAGCTCTCCGTGAGGCCTCGGGTTTGGTTTCTTGCAATTCCCGAAGTTCTGGTGTGTGTACAAGCTGGCTATGGACTACGAACCGTTTGATAGCAGTGGTAAGTTTTTCACTCTATAAATATTCGATCTTTTTTTGGCAAATTATTTGAATTACGGTTTTGTAATGAATCTTTAATGATTTAGTCTTTAGGGTTTGTGTGAAATCTTGTCAGCATTGTGTTTTTTGTGTGATTCTGTCTAGTTATGGATCAGAGTGGATTGATTAGGGTTTAGAGCTTTAATTTCTTGTTCCACTATTAATTATATCTTCAGCTTCACTGCATTGAATATTCAAGATATAGACGTTCTTCTGTGAAGTTCGTATATATACTTCCAATTTTCCAAATAAGAGCTCAAAGAACCCAGAAGACGCTTTGGTTCTATCTTTCTCCCCGTAGTTCTGGGTTTTTTCTTCTTGTTACTTGTGCAAACCAATCTTTAAACTTGGTGCGAAACTAGTGGTATTGGAGAAGAAAGATGGAACGTATAGAACACATTGCTCAATGTTCAATTAGTTCGTCAATTTCAGTTCAAAGAACTACCATGATAGACTGACAAGAAAATCAAGGAAATTGTTGAATTGATGTGTAATTGATGGCATTCATTCTGGCCTAACTTTGTATGATTTATTTACTTGCAAGCAACTATGTCATCTGTTAAACCGGTGCTCATATGTTTTTCGTAATATTTAGATTAATCCAGTGAATCCATAGCTAGTGTTTTTTCTCATAGTATTGTTTAGAAAATGCAATGCTCCTGTAGTATTAGGAAGATTAAATATATGAATATATTAAGCTATGAGCATCCACATTTTCCTATCAAAAGTACATAATGTTTTATTTGGTTCCTAAATGAGCTTTTCTTTCAGTAAAGATTCATAAAAAAATGATAGATTTAAAAGAACATAGATATTGAGTCATGGTTAAACGGATACACCATCAACACATAAAGGATAGGGGTATTAGTGAAATATCTGTAGAAAATTAAGGCCCTTGTGGTGTTGCTGGACATGTGCTAAGTGACATAGCAGATTCAGTTGAATTTCATTTAGGCCTTGATGCTTTGGCGTGTTCAAGATTTACTGAATCTCAATTGCAAGTAGCGTTTGTGGATGCCCTTACTTTTATGAACGTAATAGTATGTTTATCAAACTGGATAGTTATCAACTTGATATGTTTTGACTTCAGGGACAGTCTTTTTATCAAGGGGAAAAAAGATTTATGTATGATGCATTATCAACGAAAGGTGCTATATCTATTGTTTTAGTCTTTATTTTGAAACGTGGGTAGGGTACAAAGCAGGGGCGAAGTCAGAAATTCAAAACTATTGGACCAATTAAGAGTAGAACAAAATATTATATAGGATTCAGGGGGCAGTGTTAAAAAACAAATATTTTAAGGAGGAAGTTCATTAAAGATTGCAGAATATTTAAAGGGTGAGGATGCAGTTTCTAAAACTCGGGGTCATGCCCCCCCTTAGTCCTAAGGTAGCTTTGACACTGATATTCAGGAAAATACTGAATAAAATCCTCATTACCATTAAATGAATGGGTGTTATTTGTTTCATAGAGTATTTGTTATATCACCAAACCGACTTTCTCCCAAGACTAATACAAATAAGAGGACAATTAAAAGAAACTTATGGCTGCTATCATTCATTTAGCTGGGGGTCTATCACTCTTCTTCATTAGTTATGTTTTTGAAGTTATATCAAGAGTATGCTTTTATTATTTATCTTTGCCAAGGTGTAGTGCAATTTTCCATTTCATTTTATCTGTGTATCCAAATTTTAAAAGTGTAATGAAAGTTGTTGATCCTTTTCAAGCTAGGTGATTTATACATTGTAAATTCGAGGCATCGTTTGAATGTTGAACTTCTGTATTGATTGGTATTATACGATACATTGAGCTTAGTTGCATTATCATATTAAAACAAGAGAAAAAGCTTTTTATTATAATGAGGTTTGGAAAGAGTCCAAATGTTTAGATGGTTACCAACTTCTTCTCACTTTTTTTTTTCNATAAACTTTTTCACGTCCGCCTTCGAGGCCTCCAACTGAAGAAAGAAACTCCTCTCTCCCTCAATATCCCCATTGAATTCGTCCTTTCAAACTTCAATCCTCGATTCCGTGCAAAACAACGCACACGCACACTTTCTAGTATGTGTATTGAATGTTAATTTGCAGTCTGAGCGATTTTTTGAGTATCGGAGCTCTCCGTGAGGCCTCGGGTTTGGTTTCTTGCAATTCCCGAAGTTCTGGTGTGTGTACAAGCTGGCTATGGACTACGAACCGTTTGATAGCAGTGGTAAGTTTTTCACTCTATAAATATTCGATCTTTTTTTGGCAAATTATTTGAATTACGGTTTTGTAATGAATCTTTAATGATTTAGTCTTTAGGGTTTGTGTGANTAAAAAACAAATATTTTAAGGAGGAAGTTCATTAAAGATTGCAGAATATTTAAAGGGTGAGGATGCAGTTTCTAAAACTCGGGGTCATGCCCCCCCTTAGTCCTAAGGTAGCTTTGACACTGATATTCAGGAAAATACTGAATAAAATCCTCATTACCATTAAATGAATGGGTGTTATTTGTTTCATAGAGTATTTGTTATATCACCAAACCGACTTTCTCCCAAGACTAATACAAATAAGAGGACAATTAAAAGAAACTTATGGCTGCTATCATTCATTTAGCTGGGGGTCTATCACTCTTCTTCATTAGTTATGTTTTTGAAGTTATATCAAGAGTATGCTTTTATTATTTATCTTTGCCAAGGTGTAGTGCAATTTTCCATTTCATTTTATCTGTGTATCCAAATTTTAAAAGTGTAATGAAAGTTGTTGATCCTTTTCAAGCTAGGTGATTTATACATTGTAAATTCGAGGCATCGTTTGAATGTTGAACTTCTGTATTGATTGGTATTATACGATACATTGAGCTTAGTTGCATTATCATATTAAAACAAGAGAAAAAGCTTTTTATTATAATGAGGTTTGGAAAGAGTCCAAATGTTTAGATGGTTACCAACTTCTTCTCACTTTTTTTTTTCCATTAGTCTTTTTGTGCATTGACACTCGTTGTACTAAATAAGTTAATCAACCTGTGTTAAATTATATAGCTGTTATTGCGGAGGCACCTCACAGTTTGGGGTTAGAGTTTGAATGCTATCACATGCCCAAAGAAGTATGTATGAGTATGTGTATGGTGATTTATTACAGTCTCACGTAAACAAATGTGAACATATCTGTTGGGTTTCCCGTGATTCTGATGCCAAGAAAACTCCAAACCAACAAACAACAACACTTGACTAGCGTTTTTCAGTTTAGATATGACTTTCATTGGATGAATTTAGTCCAAGTGAAAGACACTGATCCTATACAGTCTATCTTCCTTGATAGAGCTCAGAGTACTGATTCTTGTCCAATGTTTATCAAAGAGTGAAAACCTAATAACATCAAGATTTTATTAATTCTATCTTGATACAAGTGAAGTTGGTAGTTCACAAAAATATGTATGCTTTTGAGGTGGACTATGTAATATTTTATATGGTAAGGCATTATCGTTACATATTTGGCTACCTGAGTTTTTTCCTATTGCATTCTTGGCATAAAGTAATAAAAACTATTAGACACAAATGACACGATTACTGTTAAACAATATATCCCTCGGGGATTTGGTCGCAATTCTACCTGTGAAATATTCATTCTTAGCTAAAAGTTCTCAATCAAAGTTCTATTCTGTAAGTTCATGGTTTATGGATATTTTAGAATGATTGAAATATATAAACCTAGTCACTGTCTGGTCAGAAGAGCTGTGATTTTGTTAGTGTATGCTTTAAGTAACAATTTCATTATTCCTTCGATTAAGGACTTATTTAATCATATCTTTTAGCTGATTAAAATATACAACAGACATAAACATAAATGGCCTCAATCAAGAGGATATATTGCTTTATTCTGCAATATTAATTATAATTTTAGGATTGTTATACATGTAATTTACTGTTCTCAGGTTATCAATTTTGTTTTTCATCATCGTTTTATTCTGACATGGTTGCATTGTTATCTGAATTTGGGTTTTCTTATGTTCCCTACTGAAATTGTTGCAGGAACTGATGACGATCTACCTCCATCACATCAAAATAGAATTCCAAGAGGGGGTCGTGCTGCAGGGAATGGAAGATCTGCTGTTATGGGTTCTGTTCCATACCCTAGGATGTATGGTGAAACAGATATGGAGGCCCAAATTCACCACCTTGAGCAGGAAGCATACAGTTCAGTTCTAAGAGCCTTTAAAGCTCAAGCTGATGCCATTACTTGGGTACTTTTTATCATATCCTGTGCATGGATCTAATATTTGTAAATTTGTTGGATCAGGTTTAAATGACAGCTCAATGAACTGTATTTTCTTCAGGAGAAGGAAAGTTTAATAACTGAACTAAGAAAAGAGTTGAGACTATCAAATGAAGAGCACAGAGAGCTTCTGGGCAGAGTTAATGCAGATGATGTTATCCGAAGGATAAGGTCTGAGAGTGTCAAAGATGAATTTCGTTGTTTTTTATAAGTGTCGGAGCTCTGGTCTCTTTCTATCTTCTATCCTTTAATAGGTAGTATTTTCCTAATGTGAGTAGGGAGTGGAGACAGGCAGGTCGGACGCAGCCTGGCATGCTTAGTACTGGTCAAGCTGTGCATGATCCGGCACCCAGCCCCTCTGTTTCAGCATCTCGTAAAAAGCAGAAGATATCCCAGGCATTACCTCCTCCATCATTTGGTGGGCCATCCCCTTCTTTTCACCCACAAGCAGTGGCTGCATCAAATCAGCCANCACCCAGCCCCTCTGTTTCAGCATCTCGTAAAAAGCAGAAGATATCCCAGGCATTACCTCCTCCATCGTTTGGTGGGCCATCCCCTTCTTTTCACCCACAAGCAGTGGCTGCATCAAATCAGCCATCTTCATCAGCTGCAAAACGAGGACCTATTGTGGGAGCCAGGGGAAAAAAGCACAAGCCTGTAAGTTACAAAATTTTGAATTGGGAAGTGTAATGCCAATAAAAATACTTGTTTCTGATAAGTATCTTGTTGAAAGTTTTTCTTCTGTTATTCTTACAGGGTCAGATATTAGCTGGTGCATCATCAATGAAAATGCAGTACCTTTCGTCAGGACCAACTGGAAGGGGTCAATTTAATCGGGCTTCTTCAGGTGCCCTTACAAGTGAGCATGCTCAAGCAGCATCATTTGATCCAATGATTGGGAGGAAAGTGAGGACCCGATGGCCTGATGACAATAATTTTTATGAAGCTGTTATAACTGATTACAATCCGGCTGAGGTATGTTTGACTTTTCATTTCTCATTGGTTTACCTTTATGCTGTCTCATTGCTGAAGTTATTTTTTTCATATAACTTTCAGGGTCGACATGCTCTTGTTTATGATANATGCTGTCTCAGTGCTGAAGTTATTTTTTTCATATAACTTTCAGGGTCGACATGCTCTTGTTTATGATATAGGTACTGCAAATGAGACGTGGGAATGGGTCAATCTTTCAGAGGTATATATGACATGTTTTTTCTTATGATCTAAAGTATTATAGTAAAAATGATTCTGAATTTCAGTATCTGGAGGTATGGCTTCGTCACTAGTTTATGTTGACATAATGTTAGACAGATACATAACATCTTCAACTAGTTTGTCAGTGTTTCAATTGGCATNTGATTCTGAATTTCAGTATCTGGAGGTATGGCTTCGTCACAAGTTTATGTTGACGTAATGTTAGACAGATACATAACATCTTCAACTAGTTTGTCAGTGTTTCAATTGGCATTTATTTGGATGAAACTCAACTTTACACGCACGGGCTGATTTTTGATTTGGACCAGTATGGCATCGACTGTTGTACATTCATTGTCTTTAAGCATAGGTNATTTATTTGGATGAAACTCAACTTTACACGCACGGGCTGATTTTTGATTTGGACCAGTATGGCATCGACTGTTGTACATTCATTGTCTTTAAGCATAGGTATAACATTGGAGATATTTCTGTCAGTTCACAAAAAATGTAGGAAGGGGAAATTTAAATGGAACGTCAGTAATTGCTAAAACTCTTTAAGCAGATAAAATTTAGAACCGTGTGGGGGACATGGGGGTCTCTCTGATCTCTCTAGTCCTCTGGGCAGCTATCATCCAGCAAACTGTAACCATCTTCCAAGATGACTTTGTTTTGCGCTGATTCTTGATGAATAAATAACTTCCTAATGATTGACTGTGCTCGTCTCCGATATGGCATGTACAGCAATCTCTTTTTCTTTCCTTTATGTTTTTCACATCTGATAAGTATGGGTGTGTATTGTGTAGGCTTATGCATTGACTAAAGTCAAGTAGTAGAATTTTTAGTGATGTGGTGTTCTTTGTTTAAAACACTTGATGGAAAATATGGTATTGCATATATCTATGCCAACTGTAGATCAAATATATGGTCCAATGGGAACGAATTCACATTGAAGACAATCTGTGAAAATGAATTCTAACAACTTTGTTGGCATGCAATCTGAAGTTCCTAAGACTGACACATTAACTGTGTGTAGGATTGAAATTTTGCATATTATTACATACCTGGAAGCATTCTTTATCCTGGTTTTAATCTTGATAAAATTTTTATTGAGTTCCCTTAATTATTTTTCGATATCTATTCTTATTCTGTATAGATGAGTGTTGTTGCACAAGGTCTTTCTGGTTATCAGTACTCAGATATGTGCATTTGATTGCTTGGATGTCGATTATTATTTTGTTTGGGAATGTTAGAGATAAACAATTTACTTTGCGCCCTTATAGCATGGTGGCAACAATATGTTGGAGTATCGATTTAAAAAAAAACAATATTTTGGAGATCTTAATGGGTTAACTGTGGGCTGTATATCATAACATACTGAAAACTTAGATTTGTAAACCCAGTAGGGTTTGTAGTACTAGTACATCAGTTACACAGGTATTAGTTTTGAAGGGCAGTGATTTGGTTTTCCTTTCATTTGATTAAATGAGTGATAATCGTCAATTTGACCTAAAAATCTTCACTCTTATTTCTTTCCTTCATAATTTTAGTGGCAAGTGTCTTGAAGGAAAAACACATTCAATATAGAGGCAAAATTTCTTTGTGATTTTGTGTACTTTGCTTGTAAGGTTCTCGATGAGCCAAGCTAAGTGGAGCATTAGAGCATGTTCAAGCTCGGCTCAATATTTTTTTTATGGTGCTCTAGTTGAGCTTACCAACGGCGTTCCACTTGACTCGTGTAAATTTTGCAAAGCTAAGTTCGACTCGACTTTATGGCATAATCAAGCTTAGTCTAGCTCAACTGTGCGAAGGCATATGTATGCAATATTTTATATTTTGTGAAAAAATGATAGAAAAGGAATTCAATATAATAATATATTATAAATACATAAAGACATAAGAGGTTAATAGAGTGACCGTAAGACTGGACAGTAGAAAGTGCTCTAATTATAATCTTTTGAACGAAATAAGGATCCGTATGTTTGTGACCCTATTCAAGCCGAGTCAGTGGTTGCCTGACCTCTTCCCGTTTGTGAAATGAGCTTAGCTTAAGGACCAGCTCGATTTGTTGGATCAAGCAAATGAACTCAAGCTGAGCTGGAAGTTATCTTGCTTAGTTTGTAGCAGGAGGCGATCAAATTCCCATAATTCTAAGAAAGTAAGGATATCTGAAACTAGTAACCTGCATGGGTTCAGTTGTTGAACAAAGTCTGAGGATTAATCCCGCATGTCCTAAATTTTAGTCTTATTGGTTGCATAAAACTCGGGTTTAGCACATACACGTGATTTATGGGTGATTGCGTACATTTTAAATTTTCATTGNTCCTAAATTTTAGTCTTATTGGTTGCATAAAACTCGGGTTTAGCACATACACGTGATTTATGGGTGATTGCGTACATTTTAAATTTTCATTGCAGCCATGAGTTTAGAGGGCCCCATTTAGCATGGCTTTCCATTGCTAAAAAAATACCGAATACTAGCAATGGCTATGCGGAGAGTGTGGGTTGTGGTTTACTTCCTCTTTTCACACTGCTTAGTCAACCCCCATCCCTAGTCCCCCTCTATGCCCTGCCTTGTGTAGGGTTAATCCAAACCATCCCTGCATGAATTCCTTGTTCTTTTTCTGTTGGCCCTCTGTTAGTTTGTGCTCCTGTGGTGCTCCTATATTCTAGAATCTTTGAAGTATGAAACTGTATTTTACACAAGGATAATGAAATTCACCTATCAGCTCTGAAAATAAATACGTAAATGACTATATGACAACTTTCTCCCACAAATAAGACATAAAAGAAAAAGCATGAACTCAAAACTAGAGGATTTGATGAGGTAGCATGTTTGCAGAAACTAGGCCATGAAAGTTAACCCTGAAAGAAAAAATGAATGTGTAGGTTTAACATATAGGCATGCTAATATGGTAACNTGATTTGATGAGGTAGCATGTTTGCAGAAACTAGGCCATGAAAGTTAGCCCTGAAAGAAAAAATGAATGTGTAGGTTTAACATATAGGCATGCTAATATGGTAACAAAGGAAATTTAGCAAACTTTCACCTTAGTCAGGTGGGATCAGGGTTAATTAGCATAAACTTGTCCTCAACCCAAACCCACACCATCCCCATTTTAGGACNACAAAGGAAATTTAGCAAACTTTCACCTTAGTCAGGTGGGATCAGGGTTAATTAGCATAAACTTGTCCTCAACCCAAACCCACACCGTCCCCATTTTAGGACCCCTTACTCTTCCCATTACGGGTTGGGTGGGGCAGGTTCCCAATTTACCTTGGCCTATTGCCATCCCTATATAATTCACATATTCTATTTTTTTCAAATCCTATGATTTTGCTCCAGCAATTTGGCACTTGGCTAGATTCAACTTGTCTTCCACTAGCAAAATTTCTAAGATGGCTTATGTGGTAGTGCTTGAGATGGAATCATGATTGAAATGTGGAATCCCTAATCAGAAATAGGAGACTCCTCTTCTACTTTTGGATCTTCCAGAATTTTTACCTTCAGAAATTTTAGGAGAAAAAACTTTACTCTGGCCTATTGCCATCCCTATATAATTCACTGCTTCTATTTTTTTCAAATCCTATTATTTTGCTCCAGTAATTTGGCACTTGGTTAGATTCAACTTGTCTTCCACCAGCAAAAGTTCAAAGGTGGCTTATGTAGTAGTGCTTGAGATGGAATCATAATTGCAATGTGGAATCCCTAATTAGAAATAGGAGACTCCTCTTTTACTTTTGGATCTTCCAGAATTTTTGCCTTCTGAAGTGCTAGGAGAAAAAACTTTACTGCTAGGAGGAGTGAAAGTTATTACCTTTTAAATAGTCCACAAAGTCTACTCAAAATGTATTACGATCAAAGTTGTCAAAAAGTGTATCGAAAGGCATATCGTTTTTAAAANTGAAAGTTATTACCTTTTAAATAGTCCACAAAGTCTACTCAAAATGTATTACGATCAAAGTTGTCAAAAAGTGTATCGAAAGGCATATCGTTTTTAAAAAACAGTGTTTCGCGTATTGTAAGATATGTGCAATTTTATAAAAGATATTAAAAAATACATATACCTATGACAAAATTTGATAATAACATTTCATTGCAATACAAATTTCTTGNATGTGGAATCCCTAATCAGAAATAGGAGACTCCTCTTCTACTTTTGGATCTTCCAGAATTTTTACCTTCAGAAATTTTAGGAGAAAAAACTTTACTCTGGCCTATTGCCATCCCTATATAATTCACTGCTTCTATTTTTTTCAAATCCTATTATTTTGCTCCAGTAATTTGGCACTTGGTTAGATTCAACTTGTCTTCCACCAGCAAAAGTTCAAAGGTGGCTTATGTAGTAGTGCTTGAGATGGAATCATAATTGCAATGTGGAATCCCTAATTAGAAATAGGAGACTCCTCTTTTACTTTTGGATCTTCCAGAATTTTTGCCTTCTGAAGTGCTAGGAGAAAAAACTTTACTGCTAGGAGGAGTGAAAGTTATTACCTTTTAAATAGTCCACAAAGTCTACTCAAAATGTATTACGATAAAATTTGTCAAAAAGTGTATCGAAAGGCATACCGTTTTTAAAAAACAGTGTATCGCGTATTATAAGATATGAGCAATTTTATAAAAGATAATAAAAAATACATATACCTATGACAAAATTTCATAATAACATTTCATTGCAATACAAATTTCTCGCTTAAAATAATTTACAGAGACTACAAGGACCAAAACAAAAAAAAAATTAACAATCTAAGTATTGAAATTTCTGACATAATTCATTAATATCAAAATTTAGAGAGTGCTAGTTCTAACATCTAAAGTAGTTAAAGGAGGACAATTTTAAGAATCAAACTATTTGCTCCTGCGATGGAATGAATAAAAAAGAAGACTTTTATTTCATAAAAAACGTAGATGGTGAAACGACATCGTTTTATTACGTAGTGTTTGAAAAATTACTTCCAAGTAAAAAGATGAATTCAAAGAAATTTTTTTTTGATATGTTTTGTCTTGTGTCGGATGACTCGTATGTATCATTCGGTATATTGGGTGTATCGTATCGTGTATCGCATGTTACGATGCAAACTGATACACTTAAGCAATACGTATCGTTTTCTTCATGTATTGTAACGCATCATATGTATCGTAACGCGTATGGTACAATACTAACAACTATGATTACGATCATAGGCTGTGAGGGGGCATGCATCTAATAATCTATTGTTGAACTCAGCATAACAAAGTCTTGTCCCAACATTTTTGGGGTGCATCTAATGTTATAATGAGGTGGTAAATAATGTGATAAGTATTGAATATTGCACCATGCTTATACCAATCGATTGTCTGAGAAAACTGGACTCAAATGGTTGAAGCAATTTCCTTTTGAGTTTGTAAAGTCTAATTTAATTGCATTCAATTGTTGTGATGGAAAGCTCGAAGTGATAATCAATTTTTTAGATCCATTTACAATCTTTGGGCTGCTTNTCCTTTTGAGTTTGTAAAGTCTAATTTAATTGCATTCAATTGTTGTGATGGAAAGCCCGAAGTGATAATCAATTTTTTTGATCCATTTACAATCTTTGGGCTGCATAAGGTAATAATAATAATATATTAGTTTTGTTATTAGTTCATCCATATTCAAAGTGGATTCTTAGTCTTTTCTTGCATTCTTTCTAGAGGCAAGGATTAAATCAAAATCAACGATTAAGAAAACATATATTGGATAGATTTATAGGGTTAACACCTTGTAATAGACTTCTTACATGGAGAAATGTTGGCTATCAGGGTTCACCAATGAACTGGATTCATGAATGATGGACAGATGAAAGAATGGAAACAAAGAAAGCATTTACTCTTATAGCTTGCATCTGTTGGATTCTTGCCTGGTGGTTTTCTCTTGAAATTAACAAAAGTTTGGTAGCTTTGTTGACTGATTGTTGGAATATGTTTTTTTTGAATGTTTTCGGTGGAAGCATTCTAGAAGTATTTGTAGAACTGGATAATTCCTCTTTGGACATAAAGATCTGGGAATATGGGAGGCACAACCCCAAACACAGGTGATATGTAAGAGGGATTAAGAGGTTCCCTTGTCTTAATTCTCTGTATGGCCAAAACTCTCAAGCAGGTATCCACAAAAAATCAACAACAATTGATTATTATGCAGGCAGCTCTTGAGACGAGGTTTTGTCATATAGAAAAGAATCAAGGTTTATCAGAATGATCCAGAGAAAGTAGACAGCGTGCAAAGACCAAAGAAAGAGCAAAGGAACGTGCTTTGTAAAGAGAGATTAGGGGGTTCCCTTGTCTTAATCCTTTGTAGGGCCAAAAGTCTCACACCAAATATCCACAATTTTGTGTGTTGCATTGGTTTAATGTACCGCTCCATTTACCCTTCCCCCCGTATATCTCACTCTGGGCTTCCAATGAGTAAAATAGCAGCATCTTTAATCGCACTGATGCGCTGCAGAGTTTCCATGACATTTTTGATGTTCCCAGTTGTTAGACTGTTTTGGCTAGTGACTACGATATTAAGTGCTATGCCCGTGAATGAAACATGGTGTTCTGTTATGACACAATCATAGTGCTCTAACTTAAATCTACTTGTTTAAACATTATTACCAAAGTTCAGGAATGATTATTCCAAAATTCTTGATTCACAGGCCAAAGCTCCTATATTTTAATTAGTGTTTATGTAAAAGTTTTTCTCTTTTATCTATAAAAGAAAAAGATTTTTATTTTTTTCCCTTGAGTGGAAGGGTGTGTTGGAGAATTCAGATTTTGTGTAGATGAATTTCTATGTAGATTCATTTTTAACATGTTATAAGTTTGTCATGACGTTAGTGCTTTAATATTGAAGTAATTCTCTAGTGCATGGTTTGTCAGTTATGGAACACTAGTGAAATTTAAGTATTTTAATTATATTAAGCACAAAAATGACCATGTATTTGAGCCCTTGCTACTGCCTTTTGGCATATTGAACAACTTGCTCATCTATATTATTTCCCTTCCTCAACTAATGCTCTCTGACCACTGCTCGTATTTGACCTGGTCAAAACAGGCATCTGAAGGCCATCCCACTCCCACTTGAGTCAGTAATCTAGCAATAGACGTCAACATAAAACCATCAATCTCAAAGTCTTCTAGATGTATCTGATTAAATAAAACAGCGAGCCCAACTTTAGAGCAAGTGGTACTATTTTCATTCGACGGTTTGATGTGCATCTGCATTCTCTTGCAGAATAGACAAAGTGATAATGATGTGTTGAAATTGATAACGTTAAATGTAAGGTATAGTCCGTGGGATTTTGTGGTGGAATTTCGTGAACTATCTAACCATATGATCATATCATGGGTGTTTAAAATGATGAAGCCATGAATGTCCTCACCTGCTTTATTCAGAAAGCATTACTTATTATCTCTAATGACCATGACCAAGATGCTCCATATTCATTACCCCAAATAGTGGTAGCTGCTCACATTTATCCCATATCGTCGTCAGTCATGCCTGGAGTACTAAAAGAGCCAAAAAAAGGGATGTNGCTCCATATTCATTACCCCAAATAGTGGTAGCTGCTCACATTTATCCCATATCGTCAGTCATGCCTGGAGTACTAAAAGAGCCAAAAAAAGGGATGTACCAATTTGATGCTATATCTGACTACTTGCTGCCAGGGGTCAGCTTTTAAAATTTGCATTACATTGCAATTCACACCCTTTCTGTATTTTTATGTTCAATCGACCGTTTTGCTCCTGTGTTATTTCTTGGATCAAGGCTTGGTGCTTGTTATATTTTTTATTAATTCCTTTGTTCGTGTGTCAGATCTCTCCTGAAGACATACAATGGGAAGGTGAAGAGCCTGGAATCTCTCATCAAGGAGGTTATGGTAGATCAGGTCATGCGATGAATAGATCCATCGGGCGTGATAGTATTCCAGCTGCAGGAAGAGGTAGGGGGGTGTCAAAAGGTCAATCCAGAAAGGATTTTCCTCCATCACAAAATGGCATAGGGAAGAAGGGTTCGGATGAGATTCAGTTACTTCATACAGATACTCTACTTAAGGAGGTAATGGAGAGCAACTTGGTGGATGCAAGTATCTCTAAATTCTTGTTTTCTTATAGTTTCTCATTGTCTTGTGAACTNCTTGGTGGATGCAAGTATCTCTAAATTCTTGTTTTCTTATAGTTTCTCATTGTCTTGTGAACTTGGACAGGTGGAGAAGGTCTTTAGTGCTGGTCTTCTGGACCCTGTGGAAATTGAAAAAGCAAAGAAAGTACTGAAGGTCAGAAAAAACAACCATGCAGTTTGGTATATTGTGCTTACATTGTCATCAGCTTGCAGGACAAGGTTTAAGGGTTTTTGTGGTGCAGGAGCATGAACAAGCACTCACTGATGCCATTGCTAGGCTTGCCGATATTTCTGATGGGGAAAGTGGTACAATTCTGCACAAAACCTTTTTTATTCTCTGTTAAGCAATGCATACATTAATTCTTCAAAGGGTTGGTGTCCCATGTCAACCATATATAATTGGCTCAAATTTTTCAATGCCTGTTTGGGTGTCTCAAGCAAAACTTAATTATTTGGATTAATATTCCGTGTCTCAAAATTTGTAGCTTGTCAGAAATTAATGTGTCATTTTAGGGAATTCCTAAAAACTATATTGTTGAAATGCTAGGATATGTGCGTTTTTCAAGCTACAGAAGACGAAAGTTCTTTTTTCATACTTTTTACACCTGATGAAGGTCCTTTTAGCTACTAATTTGAGTGTGGACACTGGACCCAAATTTTATTGTATTGGTTGATGATTTAGGCTTATACATGCCAGCTGATACAGGCACATTTAGGCCATATGGAAGTTTTACCTGCAACTACCTTTTCAAATAATTTATTTCTAATTCTGGTAATTACTCTGCTTTGATACAGATGAAGGTGGCCATTTCTTGCATGGGCAACCACTGGACCGAGAATGATGAGGCGATTTTGTGATGGGTGTTAACTAGATTAGCTAACTTTTTCTAAAGGATGGGGAGATGGTGTTGATATTCAAACGGCACGATGTCTTCTGATGAGTGGTAAGGTGTTGAATGTCACACTGGATTGTAGGGGTTTTGTTGTATAAAATCGGTTTCAAATCATGCTTTCCCCAGCATTGAGTTAATGTAGGCCTTTGTTCACATACAGCAGGGCTGATTGGTAGCAGAGCTGACATCTTATTTAATTAATAGGTTGATATTTGTGTAAAATTATTTGAGTAGGCATTGCTGTGATCATGTAAAAAGTTCTTGTTTACAAGTGCATTATGATGTGTTTCTTTGTCTTGGTTTTCCTTTTATTTTNGGTGAACTTGGACAGGTGGAGAAGGTCTTTAGTGCTGGTCATCTGGACCCTGTGGAAATTGAAAAAGCAAAGAAAGTACTGAAGGTCAGAAAAAACAACCATGCAGTTTGGTATACTGTGCTTACATTGTCATCAGCTTGCAGGACAAGGTTTAAGGGTTTTTGTGGTGCAGGAGCATGAACAAGCACTCACTGATGCCATTGCTAGGCTTGCCGATATTTCTGATGGGGAAAGTGGTACAATTCTGCACAAAACCTTTTTTATTCTCTGTTAAGCAATGCATACATTAATTCTTCAAAGGGTTGGTGTCCCATGTCAACCATATATAATTGGCTCAAATTTTTCAATGCCTGTTTGGGTGTCTCAAGCAAAACTTAATTATTTGGATTAATATTCCGTGTCTCAAAATTTGTAGCTTGTCAGAAATTAATGTGTCATTTTAGGGAATTCCTAAAAACTATATTGTTGAAATGCTAGGATATGTGCGTTTTTCAAGCTACAGAAGACGAAAGTTCTTTTTTCATACTTTTTACACCTGATGAAGGTCCTTTTAGCTACTAATTTGAGTGTGGACACTGGACCCAAATTTTATTGTATTGGTTGATGATTTAGGCTTATACATGCCAGCTGATACAGGCACATTTAGGCCATATGGAAGTTTTACCTGCAACTACCTTTTCAAATAATTTATTTCTAATTCTGGTAATTACTCTGCTTTGATACAGATGAAGGTGGCCATTTCTTGCATGGGCAACCACTGGACCGAGAATGATGAGGCGATTTTGTGATGGGTGTTAACTAGATTAGCTAACTTTTTCTAAAGGATGGGGAGATGGTGTTGATATTCAAACGGCACGATGTCTTCTGATGAGTGGTAAGGTGTTGAATGTCACACTGGATTGTAGGGGTTTTGTTGTATAAAATCGGTTTCAAATCATGCTTTCCCCAGCATTGAGTTAATGTAGGCCTTTGTTCACATACAGCAGGGCTGATTGGTAGCAGAGCTGACATCTTATTTAATTAATAGGTTGATATTTGTGTAAAATTATTTGAGTAGGCATTGCTGTGATCATGTAAAAAGTTCTTGTTTACAAGTGCATTATGATGTGTTTCTTTGTCTTGGTTTTCCTTTTATTTTTCGAGTATCTACGACTACGATTACGACAAAACTGCTGTGAGCAGATGTAGTGGCATATCATGTCATCGTCTACGATTGAAGTTCCTTCAATTTGCAACTTAGGGCAAAAGAGAAGAGAAACAGTCTATTCGTGTGTGGGGTAAGGTTGCGTATTTGATTTCTCAATGATTACTAGTTAAGGATTTCAAAACATCACTCTCTTCCTTTCCCTCCGGTTGAAGTTGCTTAAGATGACTTTGAAGGCTTGAAATTAAATTTTTTTTTGTTCTTATAATGTTTGTTGCTGTAGCTTATTTTAGCCTTACCAAGAAAAAAAATAAAAATCTCTGTTCATAAAGTAATTTCTGTCACTTTTACATGGCAAAATTAAATATTAAAATTGTGGGCAAAATTTGTTGCAAGGGTTAGTTACTTTTTACCTGCTTGTGTTTTGGTGTGATGTTACTTTACCTCTATAATGTTCAATTGCAAAGAATAGTTCACGCAGTCAATGTCTATGTGATTGGGTGTTGATTCCCTCCAATTTTTTTTTTCACAATGATTAAAAACCCCTTATATCCCTCTCTCTATGAAACGATACTCCTGGAAAAAACCCAGAAAGAACTCGGCAGCAAAAAACCAAACTTACCTAGAAAAAAGATGAGAATGTTGGTAGGGTCTTCCTTTGCAACCATCCCTGGAAAGCCAAGGTGTGGTCGTAGGAGTGTAAGGTTGTAGTACTTCGAGTGATAGAGGAGAGAGTGATTGAGGAGGATATTCAAATTAGGTAAATAGAGTAGTTTGAGAATCACCCAATTAAAGAAGAGATCAATGATAACAGGGTGAAAGAGATCAATTGCGTGGCGCGGGAGAACGTTGCTTTGCTTTCCATCCCAGCCTTCTTATTCTCATTTTTTGAAGGATATAGTAGATGTTTTAGTCATGAAAATCATTCATACACTTGATTTTAATTTCTTTCTAAGTTTCTTTACTTGTACTTTTTGTGAAAGTAAAGAATAAAAAACGAATATCATTTGTATAATGCTTTGGTACAATCTATAATATACATGAGGAGAGCACGAACGGTATCAAGAATATGACGATGTTTGCGCTCAACATGTCTATTTTGTTGAGATGTGTCAGGAGAAGAAAGACGAGGAATGGTGCCATGTTGATTGAGAAAATTAATGAAGGTGACGTCTCTATATTCCATGGCATTTCCAGATCTAAAAGACTTTAATGGTTTGTGAGAATTGAGTTTGAACCATTTTGACAAAATTATAATAAATTTGTGGCAACTGAGNAGTATCAAGAATATGACGATGTTTGCGCTCAGCATGTCCATTTTGTTGAGATGTGTCAGGAGAAGAACGACGAGGAATGGTGCCATGTTGATTGAGAAAATTAATGAAGGTGACGTCTCTATATTCCATGGCATTTCCAGATCTAAAAGACTTTAATGGTTTGTGAGAATTGAGTTTGAACCATTTTGACAAAATTATAATAAATTTGTGGCAACTGAGATCGAGTTTGTAAAAAATAAATCCAACTGAAACAGCTTTAGTCATCATTAAGAATGACAAAACATTTTGATCCTCCCATGGTGACAGTTGGTGCAGGCCCCCAAATATCAACAGTAGAAAGGACGGAGGAAAATAGTCGTTGTGGAAGATGAAGATGGATAGGTTTAAACAAACGTTCATGCTTACGGCCTATTCCAAGGGTCTGTACTATTTGCGGATCTTGGACAATACAACCAGTAGAAGNGGCTTTAGTCATCAATAAGAATGACAAAACATTTTGATCCTCCCATGGTGACAGTTGGTGCAGGCCCCCAAATATCAACAGTAGAAGGACGGAGGAAATAGTCGTTGTGGAAGATGAAGATGGATAGGTTTAAACAAACGTTCATGCTTACGGCCTATTCCAAGGGTCTGTACTATTTGCGGATCTTGGACAATACAACCAGTAGAAGAGAACAAAACAGTGAATCCGATGTCACAAATTTAACCCACAGATATGAGATTGAGAATAAGATTAAGTATGTGAAAAGTATGAGAAAGTGACATATGTTGTATAGATATATGTCCACCATGTTTGACATGCACATGTGAACCATCTGTAGTGTGAATGGGTGGGGATAGAACCAAGAGATTGTGTGGAAGAAAATAATGATTCTTCAGGGGTCATGTGATTAGANGTGTCACAAATTTAACCCACAGATATGAGATTGAGAGTAAGATTAAGTATGTGAAAAGTATGAGGAAGTGACATATGTTGTATAGATATATGTCCACCATGTTTGACATGCACATATGAATCATCTGTAGTGTGAATGGGTGGGGATAGAACCAAGAGATTGTGTGGAAGAAAATAATGATTCTTCAGGGGTCATGTGATTAGAGCATGCAGAGTCAAAGAACTAAGATGATTTACTTGAAGTCTTGTGACAATATGAGTAGTGAGACTATGTCATNATGATTCTTCAGGGGTCATGTGATTAGAGCATGCAGAGTCAAAGAACTAAGATGATTTACTTGAAGTCTTGTGACAATATGAGTAGTGAGACTATGTCATATCAAATAGTGTCATAATGGATTCGGATGATTGGTGAATGATTGGAAGGTTGCCAGGAGATGGTCGGGAACAAATCGAAACGTCGCTGGAGAAAGGCAGCAGGGGGGGGGGGTAGGATGGCCAGGGTTTGAGGTGAGTTGGTGTGTTGCGTTTCAACGGTGGCTATTGTGGTGATATTGAATTGTTGAAAGAGTAGAAGGAAGAAGAAAGGGTTAATATCGTCAATTCATGTTTCTGTTACAGAGTTAGTCATTTCACTTCATTACAAAATCACATTATGAGTTCCACTAATTTTCTTATACCTGCTGGAGAAGGTGACGAGAATAATGATAAAATAATACACATGCTAGCGAAATGTCATAGAAAAAAAAAGAAAATCAAAATTAATCTAATTTTTTTTATTAAGAAATTAGTAGCTTGTAGTTGAAACTAATAGCCACCACCCCATCGTTGTATTTAATGGTCACGAGTTCGAACATCGTTATCTCCATCACCATATATACATTGCTAAAAAAAATAATAATAATCAAGGAATCCTATGTACCTTCATTCTCGGAGTTACTGCCCCATGTAAAGCTGTTGTACCACCTGGGCCACCATCAGCTGGTGATTTGCAAGTTTTCAAGATCACTTCACCAACTCAAGAAATCCCCCTTCGACAGCAATGTAAAGTGGAGTCTCTCTATCATTATTGGTAGCATATGAATACTCCGGATCTTCTTTTGTTAAAAACTCAGCTACATTAAACTGATTATATCGAACAATTTCGTACAAGGCTGTGTCTCTATCCTCATTTGTCAACCTTAGCATCTCCTTGACTGCGCCAACTCCACTTTCAAGCTCTGATGCATCAAGTGATGTTGCACAACTTATGAGTGTTAGAACTACCAAGTAGAGTCCATTCTTTGCTGCAAGGTGAAGTGCAAACTTGCCACTTGAATTCACACTACATAATAGCGATTGATGCATTGTCAGAATCTCCGGCACACATTCTTTATTACCAAATTGGGATGCAATATGAAGAACAATATTACGGTTTGGAGTCGCTTTAACGCCGATTTTGTCCTTGTTTTGCATTAGAACATCAATATCCGAATTCGGCAGCAATGTATAATGCATGATCCATCTTGCCTATTCAACTACTATAAAGGAGAAATCTGTTGGGACACATGGAGTAATGTTACGAAAAAGAATTGAATAGACAAAGCAAACCAACCAAGACATACATAACATTATATAGACACAAAGTACCTATTCATAGGAATATCCATGGCTAATTAGGTTGAGTACACTGAAATTAACGGGTGACTTGAAATGAATGTAATGGATTGGAACAAATCTTTAGTTAAAAAAACAGATGACAATGAGCAAACTCCACTTCATTATGCAGCACGGTTAGCCAGGTGGTATAATATTGCATCCCAGCTATTAGATGAGGATAATTCTGTCGCTTATGTTATAGATAATGACAAGAATACAACTCTTCACCTAGCAGCTATGACAGGTAAAAATTGTATATTTGAAGAGGTCAAATTACACACTCCTGATTGTTGGAAAATTGTGAATGGTAAAAGACAAAATATACTTCACATTGCATTGGAGCATGACAGGAAGTACACAGCTAAATACATCATAGAAAACAACAGAGGAATCAACACTCTTATAACGGAGAAAGACGTTGATGGCAACGCACCTTTCCATTTGATGGCTGCTTCTAACTGCTTAGTGGATGGAATCATACATCATGATATGGTGGCTAAGAACGCCTTAAACAACAAAAACTTGACTCCGTTGGACATGGTACCTAATTATGGCAGAGATGTAGAGGTAAGGATGCCTGACTTTTTTCATTTTATATATGTTTAAGGAGTGAGCAATCATGACCTGCCATTATAAGACTAAAAACAACAAGGGTAAATTCATGTCCTTGCTCTTCGAAGTATGCATTCAGGCTCACTTTTGTAACTGAATTTTTTAATTTTATCGTTATAGTTAATAAAATTTTTGAACTGTTTTAAATGGTCCTATTGCTCAATTTTATCAAAATAATTATTTTTAAAAAAGTTTTAGAACTAAAATCACATAATTAGAAGTTGAGAGACCAAAATCTATACATTGGAAAATGCTGCTTGGATCCAATATGAAGACCTAATCTTGGGACCTAATTCACAACTAATCAAATGGTTCCAAAATTGGATTGAAAGTGAATTTTATTTAACTTTAGAACTCACAACTAAATATGACTGCATTGAATTAAGTTCCTAATTAGATCCCAAAATAAAGTTTATATTATCCAAATAAAAAAAAGGAGGATTTAATCATTAATGATCGAGGGATTACGGTATATCATTTTGCTACAACTGCATAGATGTCCTCCCACAACATTGTGGTTCTAGCCCTTTTTCTTAATTTTCATGGGACAAGAGTGTCCCACGACTCCTATCTATATTGACCCACTTTAATATACTAGAAAGGTCCTTAGGTCTTTGTTTTTTTTTTTTTTTTTTTTTTTTTTTTTTTTTTTTTTTTTTTTTTTAA